CTCGTCAGTGAATGCCAAAGCGAATCTTGCTGCAGCGACGAATGTAAGCATCCCACCATTCTGTTTTTTGCTGAAATTTATTGCTTCCTTGCTTTGCAGAATCTATGAATTTTTTCCCTTAAGGCAACTCTTGGAGGAGTCAGCTCGACAGATGGCAGCCCTCCGACTATCGAAGAACTGAATCGAGCTGAGGGAATCGACGAATACTTGTTTGGAGGCGACATGGTCCTTACTGAGTACGTAAGAAGCACATTAAGAGCTTTCCCTAAACCTGCAGTTACAGAACGTAGCATTGCTTGCCTCCAAGGGGGCACTCTCAGGGGAACATTCTGAGGGATAGCCAGAGAAGAGGGAAAAGGAAGTGTCGACAGGTCGTTTTGCGAATGATTGGTGGAAGTCGTGCGGACTCGCAAACCACCCTTGCCCAAAACAGCGATGGCTTAGTGAGCGCATTGCCCTAATTAGCCGTGAGAGTTGTTCTTGGAGCATGTCGTGCACTTGGAAGTAGAAGGCACTTTTTATCGACGGGGGGCATTTTGTACCATTGCTTCCCTAGTTCCGGTTTACAAATCTCACTCTGGTAAAACTTGTGAACGCTTGTGAAGCTGGAGCAAGATCGTCTAGCCACCATCCTGAAACGTGTCAACTCGAGAAAAGGCTACCTAGATGGGTCGGCACATCTATGGAAAGCAGAATGCCCCCCCCCCCGACGACAAACTCGAGGTAGAGTAGTGATATGCTACTTCCTTGGTATAGCGACCAAGAACGCGTTATAGTTCAGTTCGCGAATATTGACTACAAATAAGAGTTTACAGACGCCAGTCTTCGCTCATCCAGCGGAAGGAAAATACCGGACAAGACCATAATGCTCTACAACGTGGCAGGAGGCTGCAGAGCCATCAGCACCCTTTCCAAACAGCGATGCTCCAGATTAGGGAGCGTACCAGCATTTGGCCGTGGACGGGAGGAGGGTTCGTATTTGGTCATGAGCGAAAATTTTTCGCGGGTAATTTTTTTCTGCCATCCACGGCAGTCTTCAGGGAGCATTCCGGTGCTAGGGGCAGGGATCGTATTCGCCCTCACCTTCAAGAGAAGATGAGCGCGTCTCCGGTTCCTGACTTTTTGCGCTTTTTGGCATTTCTGTGGCTACCTCGGTGCTAGTACACTCACCCCACCATTCTCTCCACTACGGCGGAGAGGGAAAACTCGGAATTTTCGCGGAAAGCTCCCGATGAAAGAGGTTAGCGGAAATGGTGGCAGTAGAGGCAAGACAGCTACGGCCAGTAGGACAGAACGGAAGGACCCTGAGGGGGATCGCATGCGAAGGAATGGAATCGAGGTGCAGGGTTCGCATCCCCGGAAAATTTTCCCAGCGGCTGGAAGCGACCTGTTCCAAGTAATCCGCTCCAGGTTGAGATGTCGTGTGCGAAGATGCGAGCAAACCGCTTGGCAGGCAATAGGCCCAGATTTAAGGAGTACAAAGGCCAGGCGAATATACTCGAAATCCAGAAATCGGGTAGGCGTGGCTGCGCACTTGATTTTAAAATGGCGGGCTGCCCAGGTTTTCGTGAGATATTGTCATTTTGGAGCAGTCGTAATCATGTCTACATTTAACACAGAACAAGATAGCAGTCTATCTAAACGACGTAGCCCACGAAAAAACCCCTATGCCATGCCTCGCTCAAATGCCACGCCTACTCCGTCTCAGAGATAAGGAGTGCAAAAGGCGAGCAAGACGGCAGAGATCGGTCTAACACTGAAAGAATGCAACGCAGCATACCTGTGATTATAGATATAGGCACCACCGCCTCCTCTCCCCCTAGGCGGGATAGGCGCGGTTAGGGGTTGAACAAACATCTTCGGTTTATGAAAACCGCACTGTGGAGTAGCGAAAATGGGATAACCTATTACGGACCATATTACTCCAACATTGGGAGTATTCTAACTGCCATATAGTCACAGAATGTGTCTTAGTTGAGTCACTTGCCGACCGTCAGCTAAATGAACTTGCTTGATAAGTCTCAAGAAAACTTTTAAAGAGAATAGAGACGGTGAGGTTTGGATGGCTGCTGCCCTTCTGACTGCATTATCTTTCAGGGAGCAGCTGGTCGCATTCGAGAAACAGGCCGAACATCCCACACGCACTAAGCGACAGATGACATCACCATCGCGTCGCTGGACGAACAACAGAGTTTATTATTATTTCGATACAAATATAAGTAGGCCCTCAAAAGTTACCAGAGCTGGTCACCACTTGAATCATCCCTGCCGCTTTCAGCTGCAGCTCATCGTGCCTTCGTCAGAAAGGAGCTGAACTACCTTCAAACTCGTACATGTCTCTTTTTCATCGAGAATGCCACAGCAGCCGCTCGATTAAAAGTGATCTACGGATCCGGTTGTTGGTCCTACGTTGGAAGGCTTGGTGGTGAACAAGAGTTATCCTTGGGCAGTGGCTGTATGTCGGTAGGTTACTCACAACTAAATTCACAGCTAAATTCAGTGATTAATGTATGTCATGGCGATGTGCTTTGTACTGAGATGGCTGAGGAAAGGCTGACGCGCACTTACTAAACCTTTCACTGCTTAGTTCTATTGAGAAATAATGTTTAGGTAGGAATTGTAGCACATGAATTCATACACGCTCTCGGCTCCCTGCACATGCACATGCGAGATGACAGAGACACATACCTTAATGTCAACATGACGGCCATACCGGTTAGTTCAGCATAACTTTTAGATTTTTTTCAGTAATAAAAAATGAGAATAGTGGGCAAAAGTACACAAAGCGACCCTCGAAGAATCGGATCTGCTCGTTCTCTGTTCCCTAAGCTGGAAAAATATCCCGTGGATTCAGTGGGTGATTCGAAGGGCTCTTTGAGCTTCCGTACAGTTACATGGGGCTTAACCCCCCCCCCCTCCCCTCTCCCCGTCCCTCACACCAACTACTGAACTCTAATGCATAAGTGTCTGCAGAAAGGCATCCTGCTTCTGTATCATAGGGCCTTGCGTCTTACAAAAACGGCTAGTTCAGTGGTAGGACATGTTGTGGCTACTGATAGAGGAAAAGTACTGAGTTGTACGCTAATTACTGTGAGCCAGATAGATATATCTCTATCAACCTTCCATTAGTCGCTATGACTCTCCTCTCCCCACATAGTAGTATTCAAGTCCCATCGCAAATATCACGTCTCGAAACCAACGTTCCGCCTTTGTTAAGCCCTCCGTTGACCTTTATCAGGTTTTATCAGTTGTTATCACCCCTTGTCGCCGACCAGTAGTGCTCTGCAAAGTCGTCATGGAGCCTAGAAACCAGCGTTATGGGTACTGCTCAAGATGATAGTACCGGAGCAAGCGACACACAGCCCTAACAATTAAAAGAATTGGCTCACTCAAGATTGAATTATACTAACATTATTTATTATATCTATACTATTCATATTATCTAGAAGCACCCGCCAAAACTACGTCAAGGCAACGAAATCAATCAACAACACGCCATACGAGTACGGTAGCGATTATGCAGTACGCGAGCAACATGTCAGTACTTTAAGACCGCTTACCTGTCCTTTATTCTCTTGTATCAAGACTTATTTTATTTACGCGCGTGAATTTGAGAATGTTTTTGTTTGCATTCTGATTTTCAGCTACATGACTGCAAAGCAAGCGAGGTACCAGCGTACAATGGGTTCAAGAACAGTCTCGTTCTACGATATCGTGATGATCAATAGGTTCTACCAGTGTTTCGGTGAGAGACAGTCAACCGCCTCGGTGTTGCTCATCAGTCAGCCCCTGATTGTCCCACCGAGACCTTGGAAAAGTGGTCTCGTCTCAACCTATTTCACAAGCATCAGATGCAATTCCGATGGGGCAACCTCGAACCTCACAGCCAGCTAAAGTCAATATCTTTCCTATTAAGCGCAGCAATGGACCAAGGGACTTCGCCTGGCTGAGTGTTGCTCCTGCTCAGAGGTGGACCTTCTTGTTTTCACCAGGCGAGGCGTCAGTGTTAGGTAGCATCGCTCTGTTAAATCCGTATATTTCTCGAATTCCCAAGCCTTCCCTGTGTTGCTTCGGGTTGTTGCTCATCGCCCAGCCACGGTTCTACGCAGGCTTAGAACGCTTTTGTGCTTGCTTACTCAGGGCAGAACCTGCACCCTAGCCATCTTGCTTTCTACGAACAAATGTGCTTCGCGTCCGCTGACGGGTCACTCTGGGTCACTCAGGACTGTTACCTTTTTATAAGATGTTTCACAAGTCTTAGATTTGGGAGCGCTCTCTTGGAAACATCTCATTCACTCAATCGGTGTTATGCTATCTTCTCAAGCGAGGCGCCAATGTTGCGTAGGCTGTGTCGAGAACCGAGTACAAGCACTGGAAGTGAGAAATCCCCTCACAACATAGTTCTTTAACGGGGCTTAACCAATTGTAGCTCAATGCTTTAACTTTCTGTTATGTTCCATAAGAAGTGAAGCAATTGCAAGTCAATTATTGCTTTAGCTGCTTGTGCCGGCAAAGGAGTCACGGGCAAATGCAAGAACAAGGGGGTTCCAAATCCGAAGAATTGCAATGTATGCATTTGCCCGTCCTGGATACGGTGGAGCTCTTTGTAATCAACGAGTAAGTGGCTCTAGTTTCGTAATTTAATGTTGCATGATTTCACGGACTGAATTTTGCCTAAACTGTGATCTTCCAGCCAGCAGCGTGCGGTGGAACGTTGGCAGCAGCTAAGACTTGGAAGGCGAGAAATGTCACTATTGGCAATGCTACAGTAACCACTATGCGTGACACCTACACAGTCTGCAGTGACTGGATTTCGGTATTCTTTCGAAGTTTGTTGGTAGACAAGCTCCAAAACATGTTTATTTTCAGGCTCCTGCGGGTAAAACAATCCAAATCCAAGTGACAGCTCTGTACGGTGTGACATGCAACGGTGGCTGCACCGGCAGCTCAATTGAACCGAAGACTGTAGCGGACCAAGGAATGACTAGCCCAAGGTGAATCATTCTTTCACAGAGCACTGGACATTCAGCGCTCGCTTACACTGTTAGCAGCGAGGAGACTGGGAGGGCAAAACCGTGAGCAAAATATCATGGGACTACAACCTGAGTGCAGGTTAACAACGGCAAGGAAGAGGAAAACTGAGCTTTGGTTGACCAACAGACGATTTGAAATAACGGCCGCATCAAAGGCCATTGAACTAGCCAAAAAGAACGAAAAAAAACTAGCCGTGAAATGGAGTTTTGAATAGTTTATTAGCCCTTAACCAAGCATATTAGGAGCAGCAGCCAATAACACATTAATATTGATAGTTTTTCAGAGTGGAGATAGTGTAAAGGTAAGCGATGTACGCGATTTGGCATCAAATCCCGGATCGGCTCCCTTCCTAGCCCACCACCGACGCAGCCATCCATCTGGGGCTACATAGTTGTTATCAGACCCGTCTGGAAAATAACAAACACTGATTTTCGCATTGGCAGTCCTGTAGTTCACTTACGAAGCTCACGCTGATGTTTTTGGAAATCAAGGTTTACCACCTCATCAGTGGGTCCGGAACGTCCGTTCCGATGGATTCTCTCACAATAGTGCTTCGGCTTCGCTGCTGCTCCAGACGGAGGGCTCAAGGATCCGTCCTGTGCGCAGACACACTTCTTTAAAAGAACCTAGCGATTAGTGACGGCCGTGCAGATGGCCGTTTTTGAATGATAATTTTTCACGGCATTTCAGGATCTGTTGCCCCGATCAACTAAAGCAGATTTTAACAACCAAGGTGATTCCAGCTCCTGTGGTTGCCTACAGCGCTTATCGCCAATCAACATTTACCTACCTCTATAGATATGTTTGACTGCTTCCAAATTGTCAAACTTTCTTGAAGAATAAAGCTTATTTCCAAGTTGTGCGGATTTTGCTATCCAGTGGAAATCGTATTCCAAAAAGAAATCTTTTACACTTATT